TTGTTCGATTTTTAAAGTTTTATTGTCTATGTATGAATTTATTACTTAATTTAGTTAATAAAGTACTTTATTTAAAAATCTTATATCTTATACTTTATTTATATTATTATATCATATAATTATATTATAGTCGTGTGAAGCTCGTGATAAATTTCCGTTTCATCGTCTCCATAGGATTTTTCCATTTACACCCTTAGATTAAAACAAAAAGGGTAGATACGGTACGCTCATACTTGCATCAAACAAAAACTGATCCCACGGCAGCGCGAACAGGACGGCGAGATCCGCGTCACTGCATTACCGACCCGAACGAAACAGCACGTTAAGTTTCAGCGGCAGCGCGAACGAGACGGCGAGATCCGCGTCACTGCACTACCGACCATTCACGCGACCAGTACTCGACGTCACTACTGAATAAGATTCAAAACAAACAGCAATTTTTATAAAAACAATATTTTATAGTACTTACGAATGAAAAGTGATGCTGTGGGTGATATTTTAAGTTCTTGATCAATTTGAGCACTTTTTAAAAACACACTTAGGCATTGTTTTATCATATAAACACAAAATATTAGCAATATTTATTTTTGGCGTTCACATGTACGTCGTTTGCATGTCAAGTTGTGATTAAAGCGATTAGGGTCGTGGACCACAATTCATGCGGATCACTTGTGAGGCTAGTCTACGTTTTTGTTTTAATCTAAGTTTACACCCCGTCCGAAAAAGCGTTTGACTTCAAAAAGCTAATCAAGAATATAAGTTACAAAGCTTGGTTAAAAGTTAATATTCAGGAACAATTGTGACAGATTGCCTGCCGGCCGTCAGCGACGCAATTTAAGTGTATCCTTTGTCACTTTTTAATTTAGGATTTAGAACCTTAATCAAAAAGTTGAAACTGTTATATAAACGAGAGCTTTGAATAAAGTTTTGCGTAGAAAGTAATATTATAGGGGATTGGGTTATTGTTACGGTCAAAGAAAAAACCTTGTCAAGTGCGAGTCGTTCGTAAGCACGATGGGTTCCGTATCATCTATCTATCTATCTATCTATATATATAAAACTCAAAGGTGTCTGACTGACTGACATAGTGATCTATCAACGCACAGCCCAAACCACTGGACGGATCGGGCTGAAATTTGGCATGCAGGTAGATGTTATGACGTAGGCATCCGCTAAGAAAGGATTTTGATCAATTCTACCCCCAAGGGGATAAAATAGGGAATGAAAGTTTGTATGAAACTTTGTCAATTTTAAACCGATCGGGCTGAGACTTTGCATGCAGGTATAAGAAGAATCATAGATGAATGCCATTGTGTATGATACAAGCCTGAGAACAAAAACTGTAGTCTACACTTCAGTTTTACACCGAAGCGAAGCGAGGGCGGGCCGCTAGTTATCTATATAACATTAGACACTATATTATAATATCATACAAAAACAGTCACGTCTAGAACCCCTAATATTAATTTTAGTGTTTGTTGCAAAAGCGGCAAAAGAAATATATCATTTCTAAAATTTCATCTGTCTCGCGATCACGGTTCATGAGATACAGACGAGCAATGGAGTCTTAGCAATAGTTATAGTTTTGCTTTTATTTATTTTTTAAGCATTTAACTGCTAGATGTTTAAATCTAAAGAAAAGTTTACTAGAAAAAAATCCACGCGGACCAGGCAGCGGACGGGACTCGAACCTTTCGCAATCCGGGCGAATGCACTGACCATTATGCTACCACGTCCCTATTTGCCGCGTTGAAATTTTCCTAGCCATAAGCTGCAAGGCAGCGCCATCTCTTCGCATTGTAGGTAACCCACAATGTCAAATGAATACTTTTACAAGTATTAAACGTTTGAAAGAAGAAATACCAATTATAGTTATGTTTTTATTTATTTTTTAAGTATTTAACTGCTAGATGTTTAAATCATAAGAAAAGTTTACTAGAAAAAAATCATTTGACATTGTAGGTTACCTACAATGCGAAGAGATGACGCTGCCTTGCAGCTTAAGGCTAGGAAAATTTCAACGCGGCGAATAGAGCCGTGGTAGCATAATGGTCAGTGCATTAGAGTAAGTAGTGCATAGACGTATTTCTGAAGTAATTTTTCAACTTGACGACACTATATATAACAATACAGGGAGAAAAAACAGCCCTTGCTGAGTTTATTGCCGGTTCTTCTCAGTACAAGGTCTCCCGCCGTAGTTTTGCGAACCGATGGCGTAGCTTCTTGACCTTCAAAAGTGCTTGTAACAGACTAGACTGAAAAAAAAAAAAAATTCGCCCGGATTGCGAAGGGAGCGGGTTCGAGTCCCGTCCGCTGCCTGGTCCACGTGATAAGTTATAGTTATTAACGGGATTGTTACCATGTACCTTGTTTTTTATGAGTCTTCGATATTTCGGCACTGTTGCAAGCGCCATGATCACGGAGTAACTGAATTTGCGTGTAGATATTATCAGACATATCGGTCTACCCTCTGACGTCGGCTTTTACTGCACTCTATACATCTTCAAAACAATATATATTATCAGGTTTGAGTAAAGAACCCTAAAAAACCGGCCAAGTGCGAGTCGGGCTCGCGCACCGAGGGTTCCGTACAAAACTGAATTTTCAAAAATATTTTTTATTATATGATGTTACTAAAAATTTACGGTTTTCGCAATTTTTCCTCTATTGTATTATAAGACGTTACTTCGTACCAAATTTCAAGATTCTAAGTTCAAGGGAAGTACCCTGTAGGTTTTTTTGCGGAAATTTGCGGCATGGACAAAGGACAATGGGCAAAACGCACCCAGCTCCGCCAACAATGTAATTAGTATGAATCGATAGATCTATGAAAAACCAGCCTTTTTTATTATGACACTGTAAAAAAAATATCCTGGGAGTCAAAAGATATGACAAATGGGCATATTAAATATGCCCATGTAAAGTGAATTCACTTAAAATTTAAGTAGCTAAATAAATTCACTTTATAGTGCCTTTATTTTATATTATTAGTAACCATAATAATATGCCATATCGTACTATACAACCAGATATAGATGACAAAGCCTGCCGACCATGATGCGCTTGCACTTACTAAACTGAATTTTCAAAAATATTTTTTAATATATGATGTAACTAAAAATTTCCGGTTTTCGCAATTTTTCCTTTATCTGTACTATAAGACGTTACTTCGTACCAAATTTTAAGATTCTAAGTTAGTGGGAAGTACCCTGTAGGTTTTTTTTGCGGAAATTTGCGGCATGAACGGCTGTATCTTTTGATTGCTTTGGCTTAGAAGTTTGATTTGTTCACAGCTCCAAGGGACAGTAGACCTGAGTATTAAATATGAATTTCAGTTTGATACCTCCACGCGTTCCTGACAAAAACGGTCTTGACAGACAGACGGACGGACAACAAAGTGATCCTATAAGGGTTCCATTTTTCCTTTTGAGGTAGGTACGGAACTCCAAAAAGAGTTATTACTAGTCAACCTTAAAATCTTAATTTTCTTGTTATGGTAGGTATTAGGATCATCATCACCAGCCTATTAATGCCCCAATGCTGCGGCACAGGCCTTTCCTATGGATGGAATAGGGAGATTGGGCCATGTCCCACCACGCGGGCCCGGTGCGGATTGGTGGGTGCCGACGACTTCAAATGCAGCCGGGACCAACGGCTTAACGTGCCTTTCGAAGCGCCAGCGATATAGTTAGTTTATGGTCACCCATCCAAAGACTGACCACTGCGAAAAGTTGCTTAACTTCAACGATCGCAGCCGAACGCGCTAACCACTTGCGCCATCGAGATCCTCAATTATTTGAGTACTAGCAAACCAGTGAACATTTGGTTCACCATAACCTGATTTAAAAAAAAATGTATTTAATTAATTGAGAACTTCGGAGATTTTGTGTGGTTTCGTTTGAAATTCGGGATTTCTCGAAAACCGGAAGTGCTACGTTACTCCAATTCGGTTTGTAGTCTTATCAGACTATTCTTAACTTATAACTTAAACATTCTCTTTATCTATCTCTTACGGTTTGGCCGCTGAAACAGCACCACAGACGTACGGACGGACGGACTTGTCTAATAGATAAGAGATTAGGTTACTCGAAATATATTCTATCGTTTCCAACATTAATGCCAGTTCTTATCAACGCACAAAATATGTGACGTCCTCCATATAATTCGTGAGACAAATTAACCTAACCGGTTTTTCTACATACTTTTCTACGAATTGAAATGTATTATAAAACTTGTAACAACCATATTTTATAGTTCTACTTAGATATAAACAAACAAGAAATACATTTAAAGTTGTGAACTCGAGAAATAACAATTATTATTGTACTATATTTTTTACTTTTTAAGCATGTAACCTAGCTCGATTTTTAAATCCAAAAAAAAAGTTAAACTATTTTGGCGCTTCCTTGCAGCTTAAGAAAGGCTAGAAAGAATTCGACACGGCCGTCAGGACCGCGGCAGCATAATGGTCAGTGCATTCGCCCGGATAGCTAAAGGTGCGGTTTCAGACCCGTCTTTCCCAGTGGGCACTTTGGGCAAGTGCCCAGGGCCCCGCGATCGATAGGGGCCTCCCTCAGATCAAATACAAAGTCCCTAGTTCCCGTCAGATCACCAAACGATTACCAATATTTATTACCAAAATACTTATATAATTTGTATGAAATCGAACCTAAATTACTGACTACAATACCAACTTACTAGCTTTTATTTAGCTCGCTCCATTTCACATCCATCCACAATCCACATCAAAGTTATAGGGGCCCCATTATCCTAATATGCCCAGGGCCTCCAATAGGTTAAAGACGACCCTGTGCGGGTTCGAGTCCCGTCTGTTGCCTGGTCCGGGTGGAATTTTATCTAGTAGTATTTTCTTTAGAATGATTGTACTACTTTTTAGTTGAGCATTAAACCGCTATACATATTTATTATCCAGCAGAGTTAACAATGAATTGTTTAAAAGTTCGTCTTAAAAATCAATGAAAGAAGGTAAATAAATGAGGTTATTTTTTAATTAAATCAATACCCTTATGCAACTTACAAATTACCAAATAAAAATATTAAAGCCAACACTTATAAATTAATAAAACTAAATCAATGAATACTTTCACAAGACCAGCCACGTTCAGCCTTAAAATGCATATCAGTCAAGACCAGGGGGTCTAACCGCGTAACTAAATTGACATTAATTGTACCAATGTATGTATATTTTGATATTTCAAACCCATTTTTATCGAATTTTTAGTTCTGTAAGTTACGCGGTCTTTTTATTACAAAAAAAAGTTTCTAATATCGAAAATTGCACTTATATAATGTCAATACAGTTGCGTAGACCAGCTGATCCCAGGCGGAGGCATCACCTATCACAATACTTTGTAATCACCACCGGAAAACCTTAAGAACTAAACTATACTTTAGGTATTAACTGCTTAAACTATTTTTTTGTAAATGCTCAAAAATCTTTGGAAACAACTGTTCACCGATGTACTGGCTGTACGTAACATCCATATGGTTCCACAGGGGATCCTTGACTTCCATAACGTCCACCACATTAGGGAGACTCTTCACAAGCCACTCGACATCCTTCACGCTCACCAAACCATCGTTCTGACCGTAAATGACAACGACAGGCGCAGTCACAGCATCCAAGTTGTATTTTGGTGGCTTCTCTTGACCATACGCTTTGATATTTCCCTCCCTACCATAATCGTACTTAACAAACTCAGGATTAATCAGACTCTGCCCATACCTCGCCATGTTTCGCAGCGAAGTACCAGCGGGAAAATGGCCGTACATAACCTTGGTCGTCTCGTTACTCACTGATCCTGGATGGTAATAATCTATAGCAGACGATCCAGCGTTACAGACGTCCTCTGTCCAGTGAAACTGGCAGAAGAAAGCCAAAAACTCTTGGATTGGAGCACCTTTTGATAACACTTCTTCCAAGCCTGTCGCCCTGAGGATTCGCTCTCCCAAAGCGAAAGCTCTTAGCATCAGACGGTACGCCACCGAGCCGGTATTGAGCTGCCTCGAGGCTGGTGCCAGACCGATCATCACGTTAGCCTTTTTGCAATACTCAGGTCTTTCGGAGCACATGACGAAGAAACTACCGGCGCCTTGCGAGAATCCTACGTAGTTCAGCTTCTCCGCTCCTGTGTAGTCCAGGACATAGTCCATCATAGCGGGAATATCGTAATATCCAATTTCGTCTACGGAGAAATGCCAGAACTTGGCGTCTGTATCTGGGTCGAGGGTCACATGTCTTCGGGAGTAGTAGTTTCCTCTGCAGTTGCCAACCCAAAGGTCGAAGCAGGAATTAGCGATAAGGTAGGCGAGTCCAGCGTTGGGCCCCGCGTCAAGCCACACGTCCGAGCTCAGGAGAAGGCCGTGCATCAGCAGAACTGGTGGTAGACGTTTCTTCCCATTGCAATGCCCTCCCCTGACCACTCTGAACATCCTCAAGATATACCCATCTTCAGTCACAACGTTGTGTTCCTCCGATAAGTATCCGTTCTGCGTGGTCAGCTCGGTAAAGTTCAAGAGCGAATTTTCCGGATAGCCGAGTTTTTTTTTCGTCTCATTCCGTATTGGGAAACTGATCGCGTACAGTACCACCGATATTGAAATTAGTACGAGTGCGTTACTCGTGAGAAGTCCTTTCGACGCCATGTTATCAACTGACGTGTGGAGTACACAACTCGTTAATATAAAGTCGATGGACAGCTGCGCGAGAGTCGACGAGTAGGTATTCACGCTTTTCGCGGCGATACGTAAACAGTACTTTGTAGAGCCACTACTGATATTATGCGCTGGCGTATACGGATGCAATAATTAAAGATAATCTAGTTAATTGCGTGCAGCGGTATTTGATTGCAAGGAAAACTCTGCGAACGGATTGCACTGCATCTACTTGTTTAGCAGTAATATGAACAATTCCTTTATCTTTGATAGAGAATTCGCAATATGTAAAATATATTCTATATTCAATTGATAGGTATATTTATCAACATATATCATCGACCGTGCGTATAATTGTGATAACAATTATCTTTTAATAAACGATAAATCTGTGGGAAATTAAATTACATTTTTTTTTAGTTTTAATCATCAAGCAGTTACATGCTTTGAAAAATAAAAATTATAACTAAAATTGCTATATCATTTGCATTTGATATTGTGGGTTACATATAATGCGAAGAGATGGCGCTGCCTTGCAGCATAAGAATGGCAAGAAGATTTTCGACGCGGTCCATGAGGGCCGTGGTAGCATAATTGGTCAGTGCATTCGCCCGGATTGCGAAGGGTGCGGGTTCGAGTCTCGTCTGCTGCCTGGTCCGCGTGGAACTTTTTCTAGTTATATTTTCTTTAGATTTAAACATCAAGCAGTTACATTACATTAAATTACCTACTGGAAGCGAAATATCTCTATATTCATGAACCTCGTTCAATTGTAGTTTCAATATGAAAAAGCGTACGTCCTAACCCCTTGAGAAAAAAAAAGAAAGCTTGTTTGACAAACTTGCAAAGGACAATGGCGAACTCCCATACAAATTTTTGTTGACATTTTTTTTGCGTCTATTAATGAATTGCATCTTAAATTATACAGTTTAGATTCTCGATTTGATTCGTCTTATTTCTTATATTATAGGAAGTCTGGATTTCTAGATATTCTACTTTGAAGTTTTGGAGGTTATGTCGTACCAAGTAATACAAAAACGAATTATTAAAGTATTTTCAAGAGTATTTTTATATCAAAATAAAAATACGTGAACGAAACTATAAAACTATACGGTTTTCCGTAGATTAGCGATGAAAAAAAATAATTTATAATGTTAAAATACTGACCAACCGCGTCAAAATACTTAATAATACTAAACAGACCAGGGTTATTTAGTTCGAATACAATGTCTGTGCTGTAAGAAGTACTTAACTTATAAAAGGATTTCTAATAGTGTACTGATGGGATATTAATTAAAGATGAAACACTTTTTTATATATTTTTTATTCCATATCTTTGATCACAATATCGTAGATAGTAGATACAATGAAATAAAATCCACAGTATGGGACAGAATCGTGTCCAAAATCCACAGCAAGAAATCGACCGAAATATCAGATTCGGAAGTCTCAGGCAAGCACTACTCAACAGTCGCAGGGAAGATTTCGAGAGTCCAAATGCAGTCCAAGTCACATAAAAAAACAAATCACAAAAAAAAACACAATGCGTTGATTTAAATCGTTGCAATACGAATGCACTTAAGCACAAGCAACGATAATGTTAACAATATCAACAACAATTCGGTGACAAGCATGACAGTGACAATTATAGTTTTTTGCGTTAGAATTGTCGCCATACCCTTTTTGTATTGTGGAGATTATTTATTATGGTTTCAGTTTATTATTGAAAAATAATGTTTCCCGATATTTTTGATAGATAATTAAATACAGTTTAATCGTAAAGCGACGCAAAACATACGAATAACATATTTAAAGTTGATTTCATCACTAAAATCACTTAAAATAAATGGCTCAAAAGCCATGATGCCAAGCTACAATAAAAATAAAAAATAAATAGTCAATTGTGTTTCCCTTTAATAAGTTTTTAATTCCAGACTTAGACAACCCTCCCGTATTGTTTAATAAATCTTTTGAGATTATTTTATTAACATTTCTGATGATGACATCTATAGACGCTAAAGATTTACTTCAACAAATATTTCGCCATTGTCCTTTCGATGATAAAGCGTGAAGGAGCTACTGAACCCTCCAAGTAACGGTCTGTCTGTAAGGCTAGAAATTCTTATGGTGATGAGTCATAGCATGCTTAGTACGGTAAGCATCGCCTGGCTGCTGTCTAGCATTACAGACAGACCGTTACTCGGAGGGTTCAGTAGCTCTCTCAGTCCAATTAAATATATGGGTTAATACAAATGGGTGGGCAACGGGCCCACTGATATCTTTTAGTAGGTAATTAAATTGTGAAAATGATCATCCCCAAAATCAGATCATTGAATTGACTGACTAACAACCTAATTTTAGATTTAAGATCTGATTTTGGGGATGATCATTTTCTCGAAAGTCTATGTAGGGATCTGTGTTACGAATCTCACATTGGGGTAGTAATTGCTTCTTCCGAAATAACGGCCATAGTGAGAGTTAGTATTTTAAGTCGCTAACTCTACAATAATCACAAGGACACTAACTTTCATCACTTACTCGTATTATCGGTTCATTTGCAACAGTAACGCAACCGGGAAACGAACTGAAGCGAGACGGAGAGATTGCGGCCACTTTGCGTAGCGTGTTAGCGATCGCACGAATTGACCAGTTTCGAAACTCCGTCAACCTCCCAACCTATTAATGTCCCCACTGCAATGGGCACAAATCTTCACTATGGATGAAACAAGGAGATTGGGCCATGACTCACCACGCGGACTCAGTGCAGATTAGCGGGTACTAACGACTGCAGATGCAGCCGGGAGCAACGGAAGCTCGAAGGAGCTCATGATAATAAATTTTTGGTCACCCATCCAATGACCGACCACTGCGAAAGTTGCTTAACTTTGACCTTCACTTGGATGAAAAAAGGAGATTGGACCATGACTCACCACGCGGGCTCAGTGCAGATTGGCGGGTACTAACGACTGCAGATGCAGCCGGGAGCAACGGAAGCACGGAGGAGCTCATGATAATAAATTTTTGGTCACCCATCCAATGACCGACCACTGTGAAAGTTGCTTAACTTTAACGATCGCCATCGAACTCCTCGCAACTCAGTATTGATACAAAATGGTTAGTACCGCTAATCTTGACTTTTCTATAAATCTATTATTAATATTATTGAGTAACACAACCAAGCAACAACTATTTTAGTAAGTTATAAGATCTATTTTTGAGAAACTGCGTTGGTTGAAGTTAAGCAACTTTAAGCCGTTGGTCCCAGCTGCTTCTGAAGTCGTTAGCGCCCGCCAATCCGCACTGGGCCCGCGTGGTGGGTCATGGCCCAATCTCCCTATTCCATCCTTAGGGAAGACCTGTTTCCCAGCAGTGGGGATTTTAATAGGCTGATGATGACGATAATAAAGATCTATTTGTGCTCTTTACTAATATTATAAGCTAGTGGCCCGCCATCGCTTCGCTTCGGGGTAGAATTGATCAAAATCCTTTCTTAGCGGATAACATACGTCTATCGTCTACGGTGTAGAGCTGAAGTTGTAGACTAAAGTTTTTGTTCTCAGGCTTGTATTATACACAATGACATTCATCTATGATTCTTCTTATACCTGCATGCAAAGTCTCAGCCCGATCGGTTTAAAATTGACAAAGTTTTATACAAACTTTCATTCCCTATTTTATCCCTTTGGTGGTGGAATTGATCAAAATCCTTTCTTAGCGGATGCCTACGTCATAACATCTACCTGCATGCCAAATTTCAGCCCGATCCGTCCAGTGGTTTGGGCTGTGCGTTGATAGATCACTATGTCAGTGAGTCACCTTTGAGTTTTATATATATAGATGGTCTGGTGAACTGAAACATTCAAAGGTACATAAATTCACATCAAGCTTTAAGTGAGTGCGGTTGTTGAAAACATTACAAATGCCATATCAAAATTCCCCGTCTTTCCAATAAGTACATGGATGAAAAAAACTACTCGAGTTCAAAGGTTAAATTAAGTTTTTCGCAATTTCATCAAAACGGTAAGTTTTATCGTAAAATCACCTAATACAAAAAATTGAAGATCATAAAATCTAATATATAAAATTCTCGTGTCGCGGTGTTTGTGGTTAAACTCCTCCGAAACGGCTTTCCCGATTCTCATGAAATTTTGTGTGCATATTGGGTAGGTCTGAGAATCGGACAACATCTATTCTTCATCCCCCTAAATGTTAAGGGAATTCCACCCCTAATTTTTTTTACAATTTTAGATAATTTTTTTTTTATTTTTTTATGATACATCATACAAAAATACATACATCCCTAAATTTTCAACTTTCTACCACCAACCACTATTTTTTTATGGCGGTATGAAGTTCGCTGGGTCAGCTAGTTATCTATAAAAAAGTTATTAATAATTTCTTTCCTAAGAGCCTGGCATAAATTTGACGACCTCCGTGGTCGAGTGGTTTGTACACCGGGTTTCATGGTGTCGCCGACTCGAGAGGTCCCGGGTTCAAATCCCGGTGGGGGCAGATGTTTGAGTGATGAATACGAGCATTTGTACTCCAGTCATGGGTGTTTAATATGTATATCTATAAAAATATACTTATATATGTACAGTATATGTATTCTATCCGTTACCCTAGTATCCCATAACACAAGCCTTACTTTGGGGCTAGGCTAATTGGTGTGAGAGTTGGAAAAAAAAATCCTTACCGATAACCCTCTTTTTGTTTTGTTTCTACCGGTGAGTAGGTTTACAAAGGTACCTAAGGTTCTATTCTAAAGGCTAAAATTTTCAGTCTGATAATAGCACACTTAGGCGCTTTGCAGACGATGGGGCGGGGCGGGCATTTTGTCCGAAGCAATAAAAACGATGTCTGCGGCTGCCCTCGCCGCGTACACAAAGCGGACGACGGGCAGAGGCAGTCAGTTCAGGACGTTCGTTCTAGTGTATAGGCCATCACTAAAAAGCGCGTGGCGCGGACTGAGCTAGGCTTGTTGAAAATATATCGATGTATCGATATATCGATAATTTTTGCCGATATATTTTGATTCGATATATCGATACAAAATAACCAATATCGAAATTCTTATCAAAAACGATATTTTTTTAATTATTAGCGGCATATCACGATCTAACTAAATTCGTATCTGGAAAAATCGTAACTGGATCTCAGATTAATGATATTCAACATATCTATGATCTGTGCTGTATTTAGTATTGTCTATTATTTGTAAATCTGTTTCGCTGGTGAA